TTTGAAGGAATCGGAAGCCTTAACATCCATTGAATGGGGCCTCACACCGATCCTCGGGAATTTGAAATTTGAAGGAATCGGAAGCCTTAACATCCATTGAAGGGGGCCTCACACCGATCCTCGAGAATTTGAAATTTTGAAGGAATCGGAAGCCTTAACATCCATTGAAGGGGGTCTCACACCGATCCTCGAGAATTTGAAATTTTGAAGGAATCGGAAGCCTTAACATCCATTGAAGGGGGCCTCACACCGATCCTCGGGAATTTGAAATTTGAAGGAATCGGGAGCCTTAACATCCATTGTCGGAAGCCGTAACATCCATTGAAGGGGGTCTCACACCGACCGATCCTCGGAGGATTTGAAATTTGAAGGAATCGGAAGCCTTAACATCCATTAAAGGGGGCCTCACACCGATCCTCGGAGGATTTGAAATTTGAAGGAATCGGAAGCCTTAACATCCATTGAAGGGGGCCTCACACCGATCCTCGGAGAATTTTGAAATTTGAAGGAATCGGATGTAAAATCCTCAACCTCTAGAATTTTGATTTGACTTTTGTGGAAAATTTGTGGGAAGTTTGTGAAATTCTTATGAAACTTGTAGAATTTGGGAGAGATGTGAAAAATGTATGTAGCAATTTATGCAGTGTAGAATTTTGTGAGGGTTCATGTGGATGTTGCAAATGTATGAATATTTGTGAAGGTAGTGGAGCTTAGGAAAGTTCTGAAAAAAAAAGGCACATTGGGAAAGAATGTTGGAGGTTCAAATCAATCCCAAGAGGTGAACAAAAAAATTTGTGGGAAGTTTGTGAAATTCTTATGAAACTTGTAGAATTTGGAAGAGATGTGAAAAATGTATGTAGCAATTTATGCAGTGTAGAATTTTGTGAGAGTTCATGTGGATGTTGCAAATATATGAATATTTGTGAAGATAATGGAGCTTGTGAAAGTTCTGAAAAAAAAAAAAAAAGGAACATTGGGAAAGAATGTTGGGGGTTCAAATCAATCCTAAGAGGTGAACAAAAGAATCAACTTGAGAAGGAATGTCGAAGATTCGCATCCAACCTCAAAGCTAATCGAAGAATTATTCCTGTGGGAAGAGATGTGGCTCTATATGTAGAACCATCCAAACCTCGTATGCACCAGACAAAAGTCTGAGAAGAGTGTGGTTCTATAGAGCCAACTAACCTCTTCCACAAGAGGAAAAGGACCCAGCTTCAGACAAGTGCAGCATCTGTGTTTTCTAAGAACGATATTGTCTTTAAAATACCACGATGCATAGTACTTCTTGAGGTACCAACCGTTGACTGCAGGTATGTGTAAAAATGATTCATTCTTTAAGGTACTTTCTGAATTATATTCTCCCAAGTACACATAAAGATGTGCTACCTCTAAGAACGTCACAGCTTGAGGGGCTGCAACTTCGTAGCCTCATTTGTATTAGTTGTCACTTTGATTTGACATTAGTTCTGTAGAAATTGTTCTTGTCGTCTTTGAGGAATAACTCTGACCTTTTTCGATTGTTGCTGAAGTTGTATTTGCTGAGCGTTGAAGGATTTGACTTCAGGGTTGAATTTCCATTAACTCCTAATATCATCGTCATCTCTTTAATTCTTTCTTTCTGAGCCTAAGCAGATTTCAGAAATTCGGTCGTGCGATCAAAATATTTTTCACTTATCAAAGATATTTCTGAGTCAATTAATAACCAACCAAAAGATTCAAGATCGCTGAACTTTTTCCTGAGTATAATATTCGGAGAATTTCCTTAAGAGAGCATTCGAAGTCTCAGTGGTATTGGAGAAAATAACAGTGAAGGGTTGGGGTTCAATTTGAGTATTTATTGGTGATAAAAATCCGCCCAATAGACTTTATCAAAATAGTTTTTGTACATTAGAAATGCAAGAAGGTACACTCAACAATTCAGTTAAATCAATTTTTAATGAGTTTAATTCTATTGTGAGGTATTTGAGAATTATTGATATGATGGTCGCTAATGAGGGTTATACGTCATTACTATCGTATTCCTACTGTATTCTTTGGTACGATAGATATCTATTCAACTTAAAAGAAATTATGAATTCATTTCTTTCTAAAGATGCAATCAATAAGATTGAGGGTGCAGAAGATAAAGGTCAGGCTAATGGATTGTTGGTTAAGTTGAGACCCTTTGAGGTGTTTACCTTCAATTATGTCAAAGGTTTAGTCATAGTTCTAATAATGTGACTGACGTATTATGAGACATTATAAATTGAAGAGAAAGTTACACGCGAGTAAAAATTTTATGTCAAATTGGTTTGTTGAGGCTGTGTGGTACTCAATCTTAAGGGTTTTCTACATTCGAAGAATTCGCATTTGTGATGAACGAGGAGTTACATATTATTATCACTTTATTGAGTCAATGGGGAGATTAGTTAGAAATTTAACTTGATAATTTAGTCAAGTTAAGTACACTCGAAATGAGTAAATTTTTAAGGATACGTGCACACACTAGCACTGGAGAGAGTTGGTTATTTGAATTAAATTAAGAAGAGAGAGATAGTAAGAGAAAACAATGATTAAGAGACAGAAGAAGTTTTACTATGATCGTGGCTTACTATATTGATGCATTATAAGCATGTTTTGTTGATTTGGGGAGGGCACACCATTGATGAATTTTTTAGATGGGAAAATTCTGGTATGATTATTCTCTCTTTTGAGGCATTCTCTATTTTTCTTATTTGTAGAATTCTGAGGGTTTTACTTTTATGGTGAGATTGGTTGTATTTGGGTTTGGAAAAGTGTTTTCTTGTGCCTCTCTTATTTACACAATTATGTTTAATTTCTGATGGATCGGATTCTCTCATTTTTCATGGGCATAGGCTAAGGTTTAATTGAATTACACAAGTCTTTTTTTGCTCTCTTTTTTTCTTTCTTTTTTATTTTTTTATTTTTTTATTTTTACGATTTTGTATTTCTGCTTTCATTTTTTTTAATTTTGGTAGGCACTTCCGCATAAAAATTGTGTGTTTTCCTAGCAAACACTGGACTTCAGCTTCAAGATTTGTGACATAGAACTTGATTGCAGGTGACAGAAGTCAGTGAGCAAACTGTTCTTTCAAGGGAAGCATATATGTTATTCTATGTTCGGAATAGAACATCTGGAGTTAAAGGGGCAGCTGAAGTTGTCCCTAAATCTGATTTTTCAAGCCCTGCTGCAAATAAAGAGATCCCTTTGGTGGAAATAAAGCCAAGTACTGCTATTTACAGCTCCATCCAGCCTAAGGATGATAGACCTCACATTGAACTTGTTCCTGCAATGGATGCCTCATTGCAAGAATCAGTCAAGTCCGAAGGTTTATTTTTTAATAAGGATGAAAAGGTTGAAACAAAATATTCAAATTTGCAAATTAATGATGGGGAATTTACCAATATACACCACACATCACTATCACATGAGCCAACAAAACCTCTTCCTTTGATGGATTCTAAGCTTCCTTCTGATGGTGATAATAATAAGGTAATTCAAATATTCATTCAATGTCTTTTATTCAAGGACTTGGATGGGACATGTTTGATCTCATTTCTCTTTCAATTTTGTTTGTAGAAAGGTGATACCAGTAACAAGATGGAGACTGATCTGTCACCGTCACGGGATGATTTTGAAGAAGTTTTAAGGCAATCAAACACCATGAATGATTCGACCCTAAATGAAGCTGTTGTTACAACCCTGTTGCACAACCAGGTATTTATTTGAATGAGAGAATTCCTTTTATTTTACATATAAGCTCAGTCATTTCTGTCTGGTACTACAGTTTGGTGTATTCAACAGGAAACTTGTGAGAATATCATCACAGAAAACCTGTTGTATAGCAGCCACCAGAGTGAATCTAAGTTAAAGACGCCTAGAAAATCCTCATCAGAAAAAGGCGGGTTTTTCGGGCGCAAAATGCTATTTCTAATGTCATTGCACCGTCCAAAGAACAAGCAAATGAAAAGGAAAAAACAACATATAGCTTTCAGGAAAAAAATAAGTACGAGGATAGTTAATGATCCCAATGCTGACTCACATGAAGCCTCCACTTCCAAGAATTTTCAAGCTATTGATGTCTCCTCCAGGCATCTACCTAGAAAGCATCCACAGTCTATTAATAGAAAATCTAAGGGGAAAAAAGGCATTAAACATGGTAGCCGTTCAGTTTATACTGAAGAATTTAATAGAAGTACGTTCTGCTGTAATGAAGAAGACTCCTCTGTAAAGATTAATTATGCTGAAGACACAGATATCCTGAAACAAACATCTGGTTAGTTTGTAGCACTTAAATAATTTCTCCTCCGTTCAGTTTCGTTGTTTTCATCTATTTGATATTTTCCTGGCCTGCCTGCAGTTGCTAGGTGTGATGATCAAAACTTCCAGGTTATGCAGATGAATGAGATTCAATACAATTCAAAAAGGAATATTGGTTATGTCCTGGATGAAAAGTAAGTTCATTTTCTTCTTGTAAAACCAGTATTTGAAACTACCTCAACTGGAAATGTTCTGCTGAAAGAAAGAAAAAAAAAATCTCATGATACAAGTCTAAAGGTTGACTACCCCCCTTCTGATGTACTAGAATAATGATTTTCTTACCCTCACTAGACTGTATTCTAGAAAGTTAGAAGCACTGTACCTGAAGCAGATCGATGAAATGGCAAATCTGCCAATGTGTCTCATAATCGTTATTGTGCTGCTGATAATAAAATTTCATCAGATATTTGTTAGGAAGATTTACATGCATACCACTCAATTTTTATCTATTCACATACCTAACACCCATACATATATTCCACCTTACTGATGCATGAAAAAGGGCATTTCACTTTTTAAAAGTAAAATTAGTGGTATTTTGGATATAATATGAAAGATTTAAGTGATATTCATGTAAAAAAATCAAAGTTTAGCTATTAGATATGTAAATACTTAAGAATTGGATGGCGAGTCTGTAAATATCCCTTTTTTTATTGAGGATTTATTTAGAGTTTCAGATTTTCAGATTTAGAAGGTGATACTTTCATTTATTTGTACTTAATGTAAAATTTTTCATCTTCTCTCAGCCGTGAAGATTATGAAAAGCATAAGAGAAAAAAGGTTAAGAAATACGGGCGGTGGTTGGAGTTATGGAGCAGAAACCATTCCAGGAAACAGCCAGCTTCAAAGCACAGCAGAAGAGCAGAATAAAGGTAGATTGTAAGAGCCCAAAAAACCAACCTTTTAGGATATTGAAGTAAACAACATGCTTCTAATTGTGTCAAAATTCAATTTTGAAATGAGTTTTTACTCCATTTATGATTCTATTTCTCTTGTTAGCGCTCATGACTTTATTCTGTAGTTTGATGATTACTTGTCTTAAGTCTCTGTTCTTGTGTTGCGTTAATAAATCAGATGTTTTTTTTTTTTTTTATTTCAACATATTTTATGAAATGTGATTATATTAGAGTATAAACGCTATGTCGATGCTTTGAATGTTTTAACGGAAAGCAAGAGGTGCATTATACTATAAATTTAACTCAAATCTATTATTATCTGTGTTGTCTTTTTGTAAGGCAATTATGTTTAGTTTATCCATAATTTGCAGGGGCAATTACATATAGAGCACCCAAAACATTATTATTTACTAATCAAGCATCATCTCATCTATTTTTCAAATTCTCGCTCAAATATCAAATTTCATGATAAAACCATTTATTCATTTTTATCAAATTCTCAATTTTTTTTATTGTGGCACGTGTAAATGCATCGGTCCGGTAGTTGAAAAAATATGTTGGATGCTTAATTTATAAATATCAATGTTTCGGAGGCGCACTGTCTGTAATTAATTAATTTATCAAATTCTCAATTTTTTTATTGCGGCACGTGTAAATTAATTTTATATTAAGATTGAAGAAATAAAGCTTAAATGGTTGCTTTATGGTGGATTAGGGGTGTAAATGAACCGAATACAAACGAACAGTGCTCGTGTTCGTGTTCGGTTTGTTTGAAATATAGTTTGTTTTAAATAAGCTCGTGTTCGAAATTGTTCGTGAAGGGTCTGTTTGTGTTCGGTTCGATTTGTTCAAAATTAGTTTGAATTGTTTGAATCATTTGAATTCGAATTGTTAGAAATTTTTGAAATATTTGAAAATTTTCAATTTTGTATATATTTTTTGAATTGTTAAATAGACAACAATTTAAATATTAATTCTCATATCTTTTAAAAATTGAAATACATCATTTTATCTTTTAAAAATTGAAATATATTTTCATAAAATATATAAGAATTATTAATTAATCCTCAAACTATAAAAAAAAAATAGCGAACTTTAATAAAAATATTTTTTTATCATTAGTCATTACATCCAATTATTCAAGCAAAAAATATCTTACATAAAAAAATAAGAAAAGAAAACTGGACGATTTAACAAGCCGAGAACTCTCACCGAGAGTTGCGATTTTGAGACGAGAAGAAGGAGGCTTCTCGGCGAGAGAAGCTTTTTGCGATTTTGAGATGAGGAGTGTTCTCGCAGTCAAGCTTTTCACGTTCTTGAGAGAAGGAGCTGCCGAAACTAGAGGAGAAAGAGCGGCGTGCTTTGGAGAGGAGGGAGCGGCGAGAGGGGAAAGGGCGAACTGGTTAGGGCTTCCGCCTTAGGGCAGGGTAATAAGGGTTTTTTCATTTGTAAACAAACTGAACACAAACGAACAGAACGTGTGCTTGTGCTCGGTTCGTTTGAAATTAATCGTGTTTGAATATGTTCGTTCAATTTGTTTCCCGTGTTCGGTTTGATTTGTTTGAAATAAGTTTGAATTGTTCAAAATGTTTGAATTTTTTGAATTATATCAATGGTTTGAATTGTTTGAATTGTTCGAATTATTCGAATTGTTTGATTTGTTTGAAATGTTCGAATTATTCGAAAATATTAAAATTTGTTTACATTATTTAAAATATGATAAATTTTTAGAATATATAAATATTTTTATTTTTTATACGTAACTATTTTAAATTATTTTATATTTCAAACATTAACATTCGAACACGAATGAACGCATCACTGTTCGTGTTTAATTCGTTTAACAAACCGAACGAAAAATTTTTTTTGCGTTCGTCTCGTTTGCTTATCGAACGAATCGAACACGAACTGTTCGCGAACTCCGAGCTTTTTTGGCAGCCCTATGGTGGATGTTGGTACTTAAGTCTTGTTGAATAATGAGAGAAAGAAGGCAAATATAGTTGGTTCTGAGTTCTCTAGACCTGAATATATGAGCGTCATAGTTCTGTTACAAATAAATTTACTAAATAGGGATAGTATGGTCATTTTTTCTAGAAACAACTGTTCCACAGTTGAATAGACAGTCAACTTCCCCGTAGCAGTTTATCCACAAAAATTTCTTGAGGCAGCGCAGCTGCAGCTACGCAAACATACCGTCTTCGTCATCTCGATGTTGGTATTTGTCCTTTACTTGATTGCCTATTCCTCCATTGTTATTCTACTCATAATTGGGCAATCATTGTCCACTAATCTCATGCACCATCCCCCTCTCTCCCTCCCTCTCTCTCCCTCCCCCTCTCTCCCTCCCTCCCTCTCTCTCTCTCCCCCTCTCTCCCTCCCTCTCTCTCTCTCTAAAGATATTATTATATTATTACAAAAAAAATTTGTCCCAATTGTAAATATGACTTTTATGAAGATAAAAAATACATTCTAGTTTAATGATACCCAAACAATGCATCGAGCCAGCTGATGATTAAGAAATTGACTACTAAATTGCAGTGTCAATTCTTACAACCACATCAACAACAACAAGAAGTTTTCATCCCACTAACTGTGATCAGGAATCCTTTTTCTCCATTGTGTTCTATTGAAAGTCATATTTTCATTTAACTCTAATAAATTAAGATCATTTTTCATACAAAATGCCCGAGTCTTTTTTGGTCTACCTCTATTTTTCTCAACACAAGTCGAATCTAAAACATCTACTCTCTTAATCAGATCATCAGATGATCGACGTTTAATGTGACCAAACCATCTAAGATGACTCTCTAATTTTGTTTGTCGTGTTGGAGCTACCCCAGCCTTTTCATAGATACATTCGTTTCATATTGTCTCAAAGTGTCAAGTCACTCATCCACCTAAGCATTCTCATCTCAACAACAGTCAACTTAGTTTTATGTTTCTCATCTATTCTTCTAATCAGATCACCCCACTAAGTAGAGTGCCAATTCTTAAATGATGATTAACTACCTGCGGTGTAAGGCAAAGTTCAAACTTGTGAAGATAATGTACATTTTTTCACTTATCATTTGACTTTTAAACAATCACTAAATTACATTTAAGATCCATTATGGATATTGCACTTTTCTAATGAATTCCATTTTAGGAGGTTTTGGATCTCACAAGAAAATGGCAGCCAACAATACAGAATTGGCTTTGATAATTTACTTAATTGGCCTAACATTTTTATAGACATTAAGTTTGTAATAAGCAACATTAATGGCAATACCTAACATCTTAGCTATTGACCAGGCGCAAAAAGTCATGATGGCTTGATATGTAGAGATGATTACCCTGAAAGAATTCAAAAGAGTTCGGCTAAGGATAACATAATAATTCATTTGTGCATTTGATATGGTGAAGTTGGCCATTACTATGAATTTTCTTTTGCCTTCTTTCGAAGTGATTGACCATATGATTATTCCTGTTACCTTTTCTTCATCCTCCAAAAAAAGCCAAAAGGAAGTCCTATGTTTTGCATCAGGTTAGGGCAATCAATATTCTTCTTCTGTAAATAATTTTATTGAGCTTCCCATGTTAATCAAAATGTTGATGATGTAACACCCGTTGTTTTTAAATCCCTTGTAAGGCTTGTGTTACAAATATGTGGGAGACAAAACGAGGGGAGACTAAACTTAGCGAGAGAGAGGAGGACGGGCAGCGAGGTGCCTCCACAGTATGCCCACCCTTTCGGGTCACTGCTTTCATGACATACGTATCTGTGGGGTCGTTGTCTCTATGACATGCCCATCTTTTAGATCATTGCAAACATGGCATACACATCATTTGGGTCGTTGCCTTCATGACATGCCTACCATCTCTGGTCACTGCTTCCATGACATACCCATTTGTTGGCTCGTTGCCTCCACGACAAGCCCACCCTTTCAAGTCACTGCCTCCACAAAATACTTGAAGTTTTTTGGAGTGAAGGAGGTGAGGGTGTCAACTCTCATGCGGGAGTGACGATGTTGGAGTGTCGAAGTGGAGCATCAAAGTGAGACGAGGAGTGCTGAAGCCTTGCGGAGATGCAGGTTGTATTGTGTTGGCGCACAACCTATGCAGGAGAAGCACACCGATTCATCATGTGCGGGCTCAATATGAGGAGGTGAAAGTGAGAGCACATTTCGAGCAGGTGGTTAGTCTTCTATGAAGCCAAGAACAATAACTTATTTTATGCATCTTGGATTATTTTTTTTAATATTAGTAATGAAATTTAAATTTTGATGGACAATTTTAAAAACTTATATTAAATAAATTAATTTGATTAAGAAATTAAAATAGTAATAATAAGAAGATTATATAGTTAAAGATTTGTTAAATGTAATTTAGACGTTAGGTATAATTAAAATTAAAAAAAACACCTAATAGCGGTTTTTATTTAGAATTTATTTTAAATAAATACATACATTATGGAAGAATTTTTGGTTAATTTATTTTAGAGATCTTGCTCAAAATTTTAGAATAGAAGGTTATATTACTGAAGGAGGACTAACTTTTTTACTATTTAATACATCTATGCTTTTAATTTCATGCAAGGGACCATGTTTTGGATATCATTGATTATAGGCTTAGGTAGAAACACCAAAATAATTCGTTTAAGATCAATATCTAAAGAAGAAAATTTATGAGTAATTATGTTTCTAAATTACAATAATATTTCTTACTTCCGAGTAAATTCTTGATTTCAAATTTTCAAATTTATGTTCTATACTACTGAGATTTATACTATAATAGATTTTTCATATTATTAGGCATAAAATAGGTATGATCAATAATTGCATGATTTTTTAATGAAAATATTAGATTATTACACGATTTTTAGATCTTATTAGAAGTGCATTTATTGATTAGTAGATAGCCATAGGCACTATGAATAATAAAATTAAAATATTATATATATAAATGCTTGTACGTGAGTACTAAGACTTATTATGTGCCACAATGTATGGAAGAAGTATATATTAAGTTAGAGGTGTGATATATTATGTTTAGACAATACTCCTAAAATAAATTTATAAACTTAGGAATGTGAATTATAATAAATACAAAAAGATTAAGCATAAATAAAATAGAAGTTAATGCATATAAAAAATTTAGATTTTTTAAATGTGTAAATGACATGAATATATTATTTAGATTATTATATGATTTTTATAAGATAATAGAAAATATCATCACGTATATTATCTTCTTTTTTATTGAGTTATTGTAATTTTAAAGTATAATTACTTGACTAACCTGTTTTTAATAACTCACTATATAGTTTTAATAATTTTAGGTAAATGAGTGATAGAAGAGAGATTGTGTATTGTAAAATAGCTAAAGATAGAGAAAGTTATTTTCTCCGAACATGAATTTTTATTTTTTAACAATTTTATAGCTCTTTCCTTACTTTTAGAATTAGAATTAGTAAGTAAATTTTACTTTCATCGTTGATTGTCCGCTCTCTCCTTAAAAATTTCAATCCCTCGGGACGTGCATGGATAAAGTGATACTAGAACAAAGATTTAAATTAACTAACATAAATCTTTATGAAAGAGCTATTAAGATATTTGTAAATTTTAGTAATGAGTAAATCAAATGATTTTATTTAGGATAACTCTAACTGGATAATCTTATTTTTATCAAAGACATGAATGCTCAAGGGAAATCGAGGATGCTCATGTGGTGGGAAAGGAATAACCACCCAATGTCACTATGAGTATAAATACCTTGGCCTATATGATGTCAACTATGACACAACTTATCGAGGACTTTAGAACAGTCTAATGAAAATAATAATAGTTTTTTTATAGACAAATATTTAAAGATGTTCAAGGATTTATGACCACAATTATTCAAGGGAGTTGCATAACTAATAGAAACTGACAATTAGATGTTACAAATAGAGAAGATTTTAGACTATATTTCTTGCTTAAAGGAGAGGAAGCTGCCTATATCTAAATTTGTATTAAATGGAGAAGCTGAAAGAAGATGACAATGACAATGCCAAGATAGTTTGGGAAACATATCAAATGGCTAAGTTAACTAGAATAATTTTATAAAATTATTTAGAGATTACTTTGTCTTTTAGGCACAGAGATATATGAAGGATAAGTTTATTGGATTGGCGCAGGAGATAAACCAATCATACATTCTGAGGTAGAATTTATAATATTATTGAGGTATGCAACACAAATGGTTTCAATTGCAGAAAAGAAGTGTTTTAGATTTCTTTCTAGAATAAAGAATTCAATCAGACAATCATTGTTATTTTTGGAGATTGAAGATTATTTAGTGCTGGAGGAAGGGGCCGAATGAGAGAAAATTGATTTTCAACTTACTTAGAGAGAAAGAGCTTGGAAGAGGTAGCACCAACAATTCGTTCTAGAGGATCAAATATGAAGAAAATAAAAGTAAATACTATTGGAGTTAATAGGCAAGCTGATAATAACATTTCAAAGTCTTGTGTTAAATGTAAGAAGCTACATCATGGTGAATTCTTATTTGATTATATGGTATATTTTTCATGCAACAACATGAACAACAGATGAGGAACTGCCTCAATTCAACTTAGAGATCCACACCAAATGCTAATCATGAAAGGACTTGGCTTAGAACAATTTTCAAGAGGGATCTACTAGTAAAAGTGATCAATAAAAGATAATAGAGGCTAATGTAGTGACTCACAGAGAATAATTAAGACAAAACATTCGACCAAGTGTCAATTTCTTAACCCATTAGGAACCCGAAAATCTATTGCTATTAATATAGATGCTACAAGATTTTTATGAGTTAAATTGTATTGATTATCTTTCTAGTTATGTACTTCTATCTTAGATATTCTATGTTGTTTTAGTTATGTTATCATGTCTTAGATATCTTGTTCAAACAGTCGAGATGTATTTTTAACTTAACATGAATGACTTATTTTATGTATTTTAGACTTTTCAAAAGACTAATAAAGAAATTTAAATATTCATGTACAATTTAAAAACTCTTATTAAATAATTAGTTTGATTAAGAAACAATAATAATAATAATAATAATAAGGTTATGTGATTAAAAATTGGTTAAATGTATTATACATGTTATGTATTAATTTAAAGAATTTAAAAGTTATTGATGATTTACTAAATTCAATAAATTGATAAGTAGGATTAAATTTAGTAGAAGTTAATCTTCATGTCATATAAAATGTATATTACGGAAATAAATATATTAAAAGAAAGTAATGCATTTAAAATTTAAAAGTTAAAAAAATAATAAATTATGCATTTTTTATATTAATTATAATTAGTTTTTAAATAGTATCTAAAAGTGTTAGGATAAATATAAATTCAAGAGATATTATAGTATAATTAAAATGTAGAATGACTAGTAGTGTCATAGTTGAGAGTGGGCTTTATTTCAAATTCATTATGATCTTCATGAGTTCATTCTAATCCAAGCGAGATCTTGTTGGTTCTAGACAAGTCCTATTGGCTCAATCAAGTAGGTTCTTATTAGGGCGAGTTCAAGTTGTCCCTGAGCCATGTTGTTAAACCTTCAAGTTATTTGAATTAGGTCGCGTCGTCTTGGATCGCACGACAACCTATCTAAACCGTCATTTAAATGTGTGGTCATTGCACGTAATTATTTCTCCTAAAAACATAGTTGGAGGGATAATTTATTAGTATGTTATATTTTAATTAATGAAATTTAATCTCAAATCCTGTATTAATTTGATTAAATGTTGGAATATTTATTTCTCCATTGATTATTCCAGCTTTATGCTCTTCATGGCAGGGGGAAGACGTTAGCTTCCTCCGTAGTTAGTCGACTCTAAAACCGATGGTGTTATTAATTCCCAAAAAAAAAAATCATTTATTAATTCAAAATTTTAACCTATATATTAATGTTTAAAATGATAATAATAATTTTTATTTTTAATATTATAAAAATATGAATTTAAATACGTAAATTTTGGGATATAAGATAAAGTTAATCCATAGGCATTGTATGATATATTTGTAAATATTAATTTGTATATTTTACAGCTGTTGATGTGTTCTTCATAAATGCCTGCGCTCCAGCATGGCAGCGTGTCACAGTCAGAATTCATACGAAGGCATAGGAAACTTTAGCAGATCTAAATTGGACATGAATTTATTAATGCGAAACTCAAATAATTGGTGAGGCATATTTAATAATGTTATTAATTACATATATACCAAAAATATATTATTGAAAATTTATTCTCATCATTTAATTCCTCACGCTTTGCTTGTGATGCTCATGTTCTTCTGTAAATCTCTGCCTCGCCCACGCCCAATTCTTAAGAAGACACTGCTATATATATAAATATACTTATTAATTAAATTCATGTGCTTATCTGATCAAAGTTTTTGGGATGTTTTACATACCACTCAATTTTTACACCCATTCTTGTTTATTTATGTGGTATTCTTTTCATGTTCTTCTCTTGAATTTTTGTAAGTCTCATCTATTTATTATGTAAATTCTCTGTTCCATTACGAGAACATTTGTAGAACTTTCTTCTATGTTGTAGATTACAAAGACAGAACATGTGATGCTCTTGGTTGCTTATTGATCCTGTTGATCGAATTGAACTCATTTTTTGCATTCTCGAACGACAAATAAGGATTTTACTATAGAAGTAATAGTTCAACAAATTCATAAATAGTTAATCAACTTATTAATTCAAGTAAACATTAGTACATGAACAATAGGATGAAACATCTAATAGATATACCTTTAATAGAATGTTGTGAAATAAGAAAATATGAATTGAAAAAAATGTTTTGCTGCATTAACATCCATAGTCTAGAATTTAGATTGCAGCTCTGAGTTTGTTCCCATTTTGATAATAGACGAGAGGCTCATCAATATTGTGTTTTATTTACAAGTAAACAAGAGTAGAATTTGAAAAGTAAACTTAGTTGCATTTGGTAATCACTAAAGTCTACAATGGATATTGTCTCATTTATTGGAGAAAATATTACATCAAGAGATCTAATGTAGTTTTATGTGTGGATGATAATATTTAAGTGTTATTGGTAACATTATGATAATAAGGTAAATGAGAGTCCCACCCCTCTCTTCCGGACGCTGCACCTAATAAATTTTGAATGAAACTTATTTCAAAGATATATTTCAATTTCAACGTATAATTTATTTTTGATGTATTCCAAAATTAAATAATTCAACTTATTTATTTAATACACAAAGGGTTCTTTATCATCCGTCGCAGTTGTAGCCCTCACCAAGCAAGCTACCCAATGGCCATACATTTGGTATGCCGCCGCCGCCGCCGCCGGCCGCCATCACTTGAGCTCTATTTGGAGCAAAAGTTGCTGAAAAATAATTTAATATTTCAAAAAATTACAGCAATTATTATATATAGTCTTTTCTTTTGAAATCAGATCATGGTAATAGTATGAAGCGGTGGAAAAATGCTGATTTTAACCATAATTTTTTGAAAAGCTACCAAAATTATTTTATCCAAACGATGAAAACAAGGGTTTTAGGGTTTAGGGTGGGGTGCTGCATGCGGCAAACCGAGCCTTAGACCCCCGTCATTGTCATTGCATTTTACGCTAAGTATACATTTGTTTCAAATAACAAAACTGGACCCACCATCTTTCTCCTCTCATAGATTGCTAAGTGCCCACACACACACTCTCTCTCTCGGCCTCTATAAAAGCTAAACAAAAGAAGAAGAAGAATCCTTCGTTACACCTGAAAATTCAAATCTTTAGGACATGAGAGTAGCCGACTGCCTCCAGGACTCAAATGAGGCAGGGAAGAAGACTCGGAGGAGAAAAAGGAGGAATCTTGGCTCATCTCCGCCGCATTACGAACCCCAAACCCCACGCTCCTTCCTCTCCCGGTGGTTTTTCAAAACAACAACGCCGCCCTCCGGCGATCTACGCGGCGGCGCTGTGGAGGGATTGAAGTTGGGCTGCTTGGTTCCATTCTCAAACACTTGCTGTAACAACGAGGAGGAAACAGAGGATAGAAAGCAAGAAGAGGGATTCGATTCTGACGAGGGGAAGGAGACGATTCCTGCTATTGTGGAATCTATCGAAGGACATAGAGGTGATTTGCAGCATTATTTTACTTTTATTTTCCTCTGGACTCATTGATAAAAATCAGTTTTTTTAGGGTTTTGCTTCTTTCTCTTTGGCTTTAATGCAGTTTCAGAGCTCTGATATATCATATAAGAACAGATTGATTTCTGAAATTCGCAAAGAAAACATAATGCCAAGGGAGTTTTCGTGAGTTAAATTCCACAAAGATTTATGTATGACATATAAGCAAAATCTTGCAAGAAGGCCATTTTAGACAAAATATGTCTCCTGAAGCTATAAATTCAGATTTGACGGATTTCATCCATAAATCTAGGATTCAATAAACTCTGCAAATAGGTGGAAGAGTCGGATAGAGTAGAAATTGTCAAATAATTTTACTGGGTTTATAAGATTATTAAGTTTATAAACTGAAATCACATTTGTTGTCAGACAGAACAGCAAATATTTTAGAAGGATATTGCCACTGGAAAAGGATATTAAGGCTCACGCGTTTGTATTTTTGCGCAGAAAGCTGTAAATTATTCATATTTTCTCGTGATTTTAATTTTGTTGTCTTGCCATGCGAGCCGTTATCTCCCACGCCTAGTAAATTGAAGTGGGTCAAATGAAAATAATTTTTAGTGCCTGTTTGATTCGGGTGCAATTATAAATTAAATATAGGAAGATTTGCATATATTCCGCTTAATTCCTATGTATTTACATATGTAACAAAAAAAGTTCAAATTTTTACATAGATGTCATCTAATTTATGCATGAAAATGTGTGTCTCACTTTTTGAATGTTCCAATGGCGGTGTTTTTGATGAGATGCCAAGATTTGAGTGGTATAAATATAAAAAAAGTAAAGTTTACGTGTTAGATATGTAAATGTATAGGAATTGGATGGTATGCATGTAAACGCCCCCTTAAATATAACATTTTCATCATTAAACCCCAAACAAAATGAAAAATGAAAATTTTAAATAGAACCCGAGGGTTTGATTTGTTTGGAGAGGTTTTAGGTTTTGAAGCTCAATCAGAATAGAAAGAATGAAGGGCTTTTCTGTTAATATTTCTGATTAATTCATGCTATGTCTTGGTGTAAGCAACATTATTATTATTATTATTATTATTTTAATTTTTTTTAGAACATTATAGAAGGAGAAAAAAATTATCTTCTTTATTTTTCACCAATAAATAGCTCAGAATAAAATATATGAAACATCTAAACATTTTGATACAGATCCCAATGCTCCCAAGATGATCATGTCATAAATGCTTTTGAAATGCAGTCCTCAACAGAGATTTACTTTAAATGTGCCAAAAATTAGTTTTTGATTTGAAACTATGCCCGTCTGATTTACTATATTTATTTTTTATTTTGTTGGGAAATTTACATTCATACCACACAATTCATATGCATTTGCATATCTATCACCTAAAGTTTATATTTACATTTATAACAGCTTAGTATTAAAAATCTTTGCATGAAAGATATATTTCATTAAAAAAAAGTTAATGATAGCGGCATTTTTTTATGTGATGTCAGAGATTTGAGTGTTATTTTGTAAATATTAAAGTTTTGGTGTTAGATATGTAAATATATAAGAATTGTGTGGTATGCATGTAAGTGCCACTTTTTTTAGGGCATTTTTGAAATGAAATCGCAAGTATGACCTGCTTGTAGGGTTTGTTTTGAAATTTTCAATGTTGCTGATCCCAGATGTGACAGAGAAACCATTAAATATTGCTGATGGAAGGACATGTTGAGATCTTAGTAGACTGCAGTGTTTTTAACAATTCCTGGATAGCTGGGGTTAACGCTGTAAAATTAATAATGCAAATTAATCTATTAATTAGTCTATAAAACAATGCCTAATCACTCTAATTAAAAACAAAGTATTTCTTAATCAGTTCACTTAAGTAATGATTAGCCTAGTTTGAAACTGCTTACCCTCAATTGGCTTAAAGATAAATTAGGGACTGTTTGGAATCACTTTTGTAATCGTAAGTTATGAATTATTTGGCTAACAAATTTACACTAGTTTTTGTCTACGCGGCCTTATGAAACTTAGTCATTCTAAGTAACACTAATTAAAAATTAATTGGCTATAGAAAACATCTTAATCACTGAGTAGTGACTAAATGCTTAGGATTATAATCTATTAATTTACTAGCTCATATTTACTTGGCCTAATCAATCACTAATTATTCCAAATAAATATTGATTAATACCCAATTAACTCAATATACCAATTACTCCACTAAACATACTAGCATTAATTGATTAGTTATTATTTAAGTTAGAACCTGTTAGTCAATAAAACAATGTCTGATTAACTTGGATAAACATTACGGTCCTACTTAAATCCTAATTGGCTCAAGATAAGTTTCAAATCATTTTTCAAATAAGATAATTGCTCTACTACTTGACAAGTCTATGCTTAATTAGATAAAAGTGAACCTAAACTAATCTAACATTAGCTCAAGTTAATATCATAATCATTATTTTATTACTATAGGTAAGTAACATGATAATTTATTTGACTATAATTCATTTATTTAATGAAAAAATCCTTAGGGATGAGGATTGTAGGCTACAAGGAATCTCCACCTAATCTTATTAACACATACATACATTTATGTAACTTAATTAATAGGATTCTTCTATTTCTATCAAACACATTCTATCTCCAACTATTTGTATGTGGCCAATTCAGTCTAGAGTATTATAGTTGTTAGATTTAGTATGAATGTGTTATGAGGACTAAATTGAGGTCAATTTTATATCACAATTTTGTATATGAGGGAGTTGAGAGGCTAAATTAAAGAAATATGACACTTGAATAGTCGAGGGATTATTTTGAGATTTAATCTTAATTTTTACAAAAAATAAAAATTTTCCTACAAACAAGCAAAGTAGATGGAAACTAATTTTTTTTCAATATACTTTTATTTCTTTATCCCTTTAAATTCTTTCAAAGCGAACACAATCTAGGTATACTTTTTCTGCCATCTTCTTTACCCAAAAAAAGGAGGGTTGGAAATCAAATAAAAGATTTTTTATTTCTTTTGGAATTCACTTTGCTGCCATTCTACATGCATCCTTATGAAAAAGATAGGTGCAAATTAACAGATCAGATACAAGGAGTGAAAGATAAGAGAAAAGAAAAAGGATTGTTTATAATGAAGGCCAGAAAACATAAAGAAGAAAGTTACACTGACATGAAAGGAGATGTTCCTCATATTCTAATGTTTCTTTCTTTCATCTTCATCATGGTTTTCACCTCCATGTGTGAGCTGCTGCATGTTGATCCGTTGTGGAGTAAATAAACTATTTTCTGTGCTTGAACACGTAGCATATTGGTTGGAAAAAAAGCAAAAAAAATAAGAAAAAGAAGCTATTTCTATGCCAGGAATAATTTTCAATCATTTTGGATCAATTTTGCATGGTGATGATGTCATGCTTTATCTTGTAATAGAAACTCAAATATGCTTATAGTTTCATAATTTTACTTTTTTTTTTTTTTTGAAACATATTACAACATATTTATGTATTTGAGAAATTTACATACATAGCACACAATTCTTATATATTTACATATCTCATACCTATACTTTCATATTTACATTCTCGGTGCATTGGTGTTTTAAACCTATGTATGAAAAGAGATTTCATTTTTAAAAAGTGATAATAGTGCTATTTTTTATGTGATGTTAAAATTTTGAGTGTTCCATGTGTAAATATGAAAGCTTAGGTGTGAGATATGTAAATGCATTAGAACTATGTGCTATGCATGTAAATGCCCTTATTTATTTGTTTATTTATTTATTGGATTATTTACATGCCACTCAATTCTTATGCACTTACATATCTAACAACTAAAACTTCTATTTTTACTCACATGCCACCTTCCCTATGCATGAAAAAAATGTATTTCACTTTGTAAAAGCTAAAATGGTGGTACTTCTGATGTGATCTGAAAGATTTGGTTGGTATAGATGTAAAAAGGAAAAAATTTAGCTGTTAGATATGTCAACACCATAGGAATTCAATGATATGTATGTAAATGCCCTTTGTTTATTTCTCTAAGATTGCTCTTTTTGATTTCAGAAAAGAATCCTGAGGCTCTCTCTTTCAACCTTGGTATGGGGGCAGGTCTAGTCTTCCTCTTGGCCAAAAGTTCTAATGAATTCAACAAAATGGTTGAACTAAGATCTGAGATGGAAATGATGATCAAATATATCAAGGCAGAAATACAAAGAAAAGCTTCATCTTCTATCTTACCAGAATCAAAGCTTCTCAGTTTCCCAACTTCAAATTACTTTGGGAGTGAATTTTCAAACAAGCCTCAGCACCTGCATGAGGATGCTGAATCATGTAATTTCGCTGGGGCTTTCGGTTCCACGGCGGCTCGTCGGCAGCCTCCTAACCAGAACGTGGATTCCGATGCGAAAATGTGCTCAAAAGGTGATGAAATGGAGGAGGAGCTTCAAATAGAACTACATCGCTTGCAGCTTAAATTAGAAAACGAAGATTCATCGTTGCATCCATACCAAAATGGATTGGAGGTAACTTATATGCTGTTTACGATTATTTTTGTTTTGGTAATAAGTAGCCCACAACCCTTATGTATTTACATATCTGGTAAGTAATGTTTGATGTTTAGACTTAAAATACTTGTAATACTTACAGGTGGAGAGTGAGAGCAGTGAGAGCTTCAATGTCACTAACCAACAGGTTAATGAGCCAAGTAAAGCAGAAACCAGCCAGATAACCGGGGTTTGCCCCCGAGAGCTGGAGAAAAGGCTGCATGAGCTTCTTGAAGCAAGGCAGCAGGAGAGGATAATGGAGCTGGAGTCTGCATTAGAATCTGCACAGAGGAAGCTGAATGAGAAAGAAATGGAGATTTGCTGGTGGAGAGATACTGCAAGGCTGGTTTCAAAGCGCAGAGAAGAGAGATTACAGCTGCAGTTCTAAGAGAAAATTAGCTTAGTGAGTCGGTTGTATGTATTATTATTATTATTATTTTATTTTTTTTTTGTAATGCTGATACTTTGGTTCATGTTTCAATTTGTGCGGCTGATCCAGTTAGTTTCAATATCAATATTGATCCTGATATGTCTGATTAGCTTAGCTAAACATTATGATCCTAATTAAACCCTAATTAGCATTTTGAGTGAGAATTTTTATAGTAAAATTTGAAATCAACTAAGCTTTAGCTTTTGTAAATTTATAGTCAAATTGAACATAAAAAAATAATTCAACTTAAGTTCAAATGAGCCCAAATCAAACATTTGAAGTATAATTGCGAACTTCAAAGCATTAATTAAGAATTCAAATGATTTCAAAATTTGTTATGTTTATTATGGTTGAATAGAGCGTCTTAGGGAGAAATTCAACAAGTTTAAAATTATTTAATTTTAAGGTCATTGAGTCGACGTATTTATAAAGAGATTTAAAATTGACAAATTTTCAATAATCATTGATTATTATCAGTGATTGTTATTGCCTGATTACTATAATATGATTATTATTGTCTGGTCATTATCATGAAATCACTGTCGCGTGTTTCTTATTTGGTGTCATCATCTGATAGTTTTTATAATGACAATAAATGAAATTAAGTGTTGTAATGTTCTTTATATGTTTATCTTCTCTAGTTTAGGGAGCATTATAATTCCATTGATAGAATAAATTATTTTGATTAGTTCAAAATTTGTGTTTTTTCCCTTTTGTTAATTTTTCATGTAAAAAAACTGTTTACTCAAAACTCAAAAAAAAAAAAAAGATTCTACGCAAATTCAAATTAGTCCAAACGAATATTGGAGGCTTCAAAATTTTAATTTAAAAGACAAATGATCTTAAAATTGATATACTTATCAAATGTACACTAGTAGTGTTGGAAGCTGATGACCAGCAGTAATCATTAATCATTACTACTTGTTGTTGTAGCCCAATTACGATCTTATGAGTATTATTGTCTAATTGTTATTTTCAGGTTGTTATTGTTTAACCAACAACAACAATAACACCAACAAGCCTTTATTCTAATGAGTAAGGTCGGCTACATGAATCTTTTTTCTCCATTTTGTCCTATTGAGCTTATTATTGTTCAAACATTCACTTAATTGACATTATCATTCAATAATTCTTATGATGCAACAAATGAATTAATAAGTACTGTAATCTTATCTTTTCTAGATAAGGAGAAGAATTGATCTCTGTAACTCTAATTATAGAGCTGACTATTTTGATTAGGCTAGATACTATTATTTTTTCATTTTTTTTTTCATCTAATTATTATATTTATAAGAAAGTTAGCATATAAATAGGTATACTTCTAGTTTATGATTTCATTAATTTTCTTTTTATTTTTAAAATGTTTAAAATTTGGGAGATTGACGTACTTACCAAACTAGTCATGTATTTAAAAAACTGACACCTAATGTGTGGCGAAAGATCTGCGATGGCAGTGTGATTATTTAGCGTATTAGCGATGTACGAGACTCTAACACACTCAGATAATAGTAGAAAAGTAAGCAGAAGAAGACACCGAGATTTTTATGTGGAGAAACATTGAAAGAGGAAAAAAAACATGGAATCTTGCCAAGTTAAAATAATTCATTATGAATGGTGAATACACATGTCCACTCTTCTTCTAAATTAGAAATGATGGAGTTACAAAGTTGATCCTTGTAAATGTACAATTGTAGTTCATCGATAGTAGCCATATTTTGACGGTAACAAATATAGTTATCAGTGACAGCCTGTTGTTAGGGTCGTAGTCGATTGCTATGAAGGCAATAATCCACTATAAAGGTTGTGAACCAAGACTGTAGCGTCAGCTTGTCGTATGGGTTGTAGTTTAAAGTCATGGTAGTAGTTGGATGCGTGGGTCACAGATGGTTGCCTTGGGAACATCAGTTGGCCACAAAAGTAGTAGGAAGATGTAGGAACTATGAGCCAGGTAGGTCGTAGCGGTGAGTACTAATGATGTCTGTAGGCCACGAGGGCTCAAGTTAGAAGCTACACGAGCTATGGAGCATGTACGTCATAGTTGGTCATGCAGGTCATGGTGGTGAGATGTGATGACATCCGTCGGTAGTGGTTGTAATGGTCATGTAGAACGTAGTGGTGATTTGTGAGGACATTCTTAGGTTGTGAAGGCCAGTTTGGAGCAGTATGAGTTGTGAACTACTTAGGTCATAGTTGGTCATATTGATCGTAGTGATGATCTGTGGCGATATCCGTAGGTCGCGAGGCCTAGGTTTGGGAGTTGCACTAGTTGTGAGCTACATAAGTCGTAGTAGTGAATTGTGTTGACATTCGTAGACCGCAGAGGTCGAAGTCAAGAGTTGCAAAAAAAAAAAATCTCAAGTTTCATGTCAAGCCTCGAGATTTAGGTCAAATGATAAAAATTTGTTGATGGTATATCAACACCCAAATTTTAATATTTCATATATTTCACCTTTAATTTTAAAGGCATGAAAAATATATTTTTACTTTTTAAGAATTAAAATGATGATATATTTGATGTGATATAAAATATGAGGGATATAAATGTAAAAAGTAAAGTTTAAATGTTAGATAACTACATATATTGGTAAAGTGGTATATATTGAGATCTTGGGTTTACATATGTAAAAAAAAATTATGTAATATGTACGTAGATCTACCAAAAATTCACTGCACGTAAGATATTTATAACTATTTTGTAGTTGAATATTTTAAGTGATTGTCAGAATTATATCTACTCTAAAACAAAAAAAAAAGGCCACAATATTCTTATCAAAATCTTACAGAATAAGTTTGCTATTCATAGAATTCGCTTTATGAATAATATAACATATAGTTAATCAATTATCTTTTATATTTCACTCATTTTAAAATAATATTAACAGATATTTAACTCATTTTGACCAAATCATAAATTTTCTTATTCTAATATTATTTCTTTGATCAATTCAATTTTACTGCTAGCCTCATAAGAAAAAGTAAATTAAAAAGAGAATTTTACATACATAACACGCAATTCTTATACAATTACATGCCTAACACCTAAACTTTCATATTTACATTTATAATACGTTAGTATTATAAATCTATGCACTAAGAGGCCCCCTATTTAACTCTTTAAAAACTAAGTGATAGTAATAGTACTGATATGATATTAAAAATTTAAGTTATAAGGAAATAAAAATGCAAAATTAAGGGTTAGATATGCAAATAGGTAAAAATTGTGTTGTGTTTATGTAAATGGCCTAACAAAAAATAACATTATATTGGCAGCAACAGAAACAGAAATATGAAACGTTATATGATTTTCATTAATTTTGACTTTTAATGTGATAATCGTTGAGTCCAAATTTATTCTGTGAATCACACCCAAGCAATAGAGCATAGCAGGAGAGAGAGAGAATGTGTGTGCGCGCGCACGCTCCCAAAATAGATTAAACTTTCTTCAGTTTTTTATCAGTGATTCATTAGTCTCTTTACTGCAGAAATGCCCCCTTATTTACAAAAAGAAAGTACAAAAGCTACAACTATTTACCCATGTTTTAATAGAGGCCTTACGTGGTAATTTAGCAAAAAGTAAATAAATAAAGATTTAAACATAAGTATAAATAGATGAATATAAAAATAAGTCTCTTCTTGTCGATCGATCACTTACAGTCAGAAATCTTTGAATCGGTGAGAGGTTGCTCGGGAGGCTTTGCTGAGTTCAAGTGGCCAACCAACTGAAGCTATTTGTTGGTCGGCAGATTCTTCGACGGATCGACCCTTATTGGTTGATTGGCTTCTGGGGCATGTCGATTGCTGAGCCGATGAACATTCTTTGGCCATTGGGGGGTTCTCTTTGACCACCCCTTTGCGTTAACCCCCGCTAGGTCTGGGGGCCGACGCGGTGTGCAAATAATTCGAGTATCATACACGCACACACACAGATATATATATCATGAATAAATTTCCAACATCCGGCATGAATCAATCTCAAGGCATATCACACATCAATTTGACGCCTCCTATGGGAAACGAAGCACACTTGAAAGGTCGTTCACGTTAACATCCTAGACACGAGTTTGATAGTCATCTCACATTTCGTTCAGACAAAAAGACTTTGAGAACCGCTTCCAAACAGGAGGCATCACAAATAATGCTTTCTCAGTGCCCCCTCATTATACTGGAGTTCCTCTTCAACCGGATTAAGAAGTTGATCTCTTCATGGCTTGATAACCAGGTTGATTTAAAAGTTCATGTGGAAAATGTCCCGGCCGGGGAGCAAAATATTCAAAAGAAGCGACTAAAAAATTATCAAATATTATTCTTGAGCATGACTGCAACCATATTTCCAAGAAAATATACAATCCATTGTGACTTATGCTTTAATCTCAAGAAACACAGAGCATCCCTGACACCTCATTCTGAGGGCTTAATCAATCTCAGGGGGACTCAATTCAACATCTTTCATCATAAGCTGCCTTCGTCAAATAAAAGATTTGATTAACAACCTCGGATAGGTCAAAAATCCTTGGTGAATTTCCTTCGAGCACTTCCATTACAGGTTACGACCGTCAAGCAAAAGCTTTGACCAACAACCTAGGATAGGTCAACCATCCTTAGTGGATTTCATAAGACTCCGTCCGTTACATGTTAATGTCGTCGAGCATCTCCGACTACACAATCCAAGATGGTTCTTGCATCCTTAATAGGTTCTCCTCTCAACTATGTTCCAACACAGGCTAAAGTCGTCAGATAAACACGCTTTGACTAACAGGCTGGGAAGAGTTGAACATTTGCAATGGCTGACAGGATCTCCAACAATGCCTCTAGAAGTGGAGCCCAAAAGGAAAGACTCGATGGAAAGATATGTTACCCCTGGAAGTCAAGCCCAAGAGGCAAGACTCGATGGAAAGCTACCATACCCCTAAAAATCTAGCCCAAGAGGCAAGACTCGATGGGAAGATATGGTACTCCTAGAAGTTGAACCAAAAGGCAAGACTCGATGGAAAGCTACCATGTCTTTGGAAGTCAAGCTCAAGAGGCAAGACTCGCTGGAAAGATGTGGTACTCATAGAGGTCGAGCCCAAGAGTCAAAACTCGATCGAAAGCTACATACCACTGGAAGACGAGCCCAAGATGCAAGTCTCGATGGGAAGTAATAATGGATAGGGTTCTCACTAGAAAAATTCCA